TTTGACTATATTGTGGAATTAACTACATACTGTATATGATTGAAGATATTTAATACTACTATTAATTATTTTGAATTAATAATATAATTAACAAGAATGTAGAGATAATTTTTTATTTCATTATAAATAAATAGAAAAAAAAATTTAGGAATCACGGTAATAATAATACTACTAATACAATACTACCAATAATAATGACCCAGGATAATGCAAGTATAATATGACAATCAGGGGTTTTCTGATAACGAAGTAGTATTACAGTCTGTTACGACCTTTAATTATAGTAATCGTAATAGTAATAGGGCTGACGGCATAATATTTTATCACCACAGAAAATCATCGTACGTTCGTACAGCGAAATTGCTATAATAATAACGTATATAATACTACTACATAATAACAAGGGATTTAAATAAGCATATATAACATGATAATTGGTTTTTTGAAACAGTATTACGACCTCAGTTACAACATCTGGTGATCCATTAATTATAGTAATAGGATTATCGGCTTAATAATAATATTATAGGATTTTACAAAGTATTGTCACCGCAGAAAATCGTCGTTCCTGATACATCGTACATTCGGGAGGCATTCATTTTACCGACAGTTCATTTTATCGGCAGTTCATTTCCGCATCATGTGTTAAAGTGTCTGTGAGTTTATCAACGATATTGGAGGTTTATTAATTATGCGATGTGTGTGAATAGTTTTGTTTTGTATTGTTGTTACTAATTAATTTAATTGTATATAAGAAGCTTTAATTCGACATACTTGTAAAATAACTTTATAAGAAGTTTTATAATAAAAATTAACTTAGAAATAAGTTGATAAACTAGTTTCGATTAAATAAAACGTTTTTCTTGAATCACTATTCGCTAATAAAAATTTGTGTAGTTGTTAGTGCAAACATAATAATATCTGAATTAGATTATTTTAAACATTCTCCACCCAAAATACATGTAAACTTGAACTGTCGGTGAAATGAACTGTCGGTAAAATGAACTTCGGTAAAATGATTGTCGGTAAAGTAATTGTCGGTAAAATGATTGTCGGTAAAATGAACTGTCGGTAATAGTAAAATGAACTTTCGGCAAAGTGATTGTCGGTAAAGTAATACGTTCCCCTATTACTATAGCCCAAAAACCAAATGATTTGTAGATCAGCTCAATTATTATTTGAACCAATAAAAATTTTGGGGGGTTTAAATTTCATAAATAATTGTCATATCCATCCATTTACTAGTTTTAAACGTTATATATTTTATGAGAAAATGGCATCATTAGGTAGTAAGCCAAAAGGAATACTTAAAAAACCATCGATTAATTTTCAACCAAAACAACCAAGGTAAGGAACGGTTTAATTATTTTTCCGAGGGGAGAAGTTGAAATTTATAATGTTGATAATGTTGATAATGTTAATAATGTTAATAATGTTAATATTAATAATAACAATACCAATAATCATTATAATATAATCGTACAAAAAGATTAACATGGGATGAAGATAATATTCAATTGACTGAGGGACAAAAAGATTCCACAATGAAAATCACCGAACCGAAGACACCTTATATTCATTATAATCAAGAAACTGATGAAATAATGACAGATCTTGAAAGTAACTTACCATTTTTTTTTAATAGCAAATTTTATAACATTTACATTATTTATTTGTTTAATTTTTTCGGGGTAAAAAAATATTTATAGAAATTCCAGGTTTAGCATTAGTAACAAATAGTTTAGGATCAACAAGTTTAGGAGGAGGAGGATCTAACAGTATTTCACCTGTTGGAACACCCCTTTCCACTTCTCCTTCATCTGCACATTTTCCAGATTCAGTTAAAGATGAATGGGATTCTGAAACAGAGGAAGATGAAGAAGGTATTAATCATTTATTCTACAAGAAGCAAAGATTATAATCCAATATTAAGATTTAATATTTAAGATGTATTATCATCATAATTCTTTTAATTATTTGTTTTTTTTTTAGCTAGAGAAAAACGTCGTAAATTTGCACAACTTCGAGCTAAACATTATAATATGAAAGAGGCACTTAAATTAGGACATAAACTAGTCGATGAGGATGTTGATGATGATGAAAAAATTAAATCTATAAAAAAAAAAATATTAATCCCATCTAATAAAGATGACAACGGCGATGATGAAGATGAGGGGGGAGGTGATGGTGATGATGATGATGATGATGATGATGATGATGATGACGAGATGACAGGTGATAAAGGAAAAGAGAAAGAACAAGAGGTTGATAACAACAATAAGAGCGTCAATAGTGATAAAAACATCAATAATAGTGATAGTAGTAATAGTAATAGTAATGATAATAAAGGCAATTATAGTAATTCATCGTTAAATGGTGATGAAACTGTTCCAATGGAAACACATACACGCATAATTTATTAATTATTGGTAAAATATTATTTATTCTTTTGAGGACAATGTCATATATATCTCTTTATATCAGAAACATATTAGTGTAGTTAGTTATAATTATTTAATATTATTTTAACTATTATTAGTATTGTTCTAACTATTATTATTATAATTAATTATATTAATAATAACTAACAACAACAACAACAACAGTAATAACAATTATAATAATAATAATTATAATAATAATAATTATAATAATAATAGTAATAATTCTAAAGACTTTTTGAAATAAAATATTTCTAATTAATTGTTTAACATGAGCAATGATGAAATTTAGAGTTTAATTCCATCCATCAGATTCATAATAATAATAGAACTCAGATCTTTGTATAAATTCATATCAACATCATTGGTAATTGAATTTGCATCATCAGTATTTGTGACAACATCTATCTACCTCCAGCTATATATCATTAAAACAAGATTAGAATTAAGCATCAATGCAATAAGTCGCAGAATTTTATATTTACTTTGAGCAGAACTTTCTTTTTTTATTTTTTGCTAATTGTGCAATTTGCTTTTGTCTTGTCTTTTGTTATTTTTAAGGTATAAGCTTAGAAAAATGTAATTGGAGGAAAGAAAATTTATCAGTTATTTATTATTATTTGTTCGTTGGATTTTAATAATATGGCTTTGATAAGAAATTTTTATTAGAGGTATTTTATTTTTTGATGTTTTGATTTGTTTTAATATACAAACTACAAACTACAAACAAAAACCAAAATAAATAAAGAAAAAAAAAGAAGGAAAGAAGGAAAAACAATGTCTAATGAGGAGGATTCTGAATTTGAAGCTGTAGAGGATCGTTGGGAGTTGGAGGACCTGATGAAATTTTGTTCGTGGATAACGAGGAAAGCGAGGAAGTGCTTACAGTTCGCTTGAAAGCCTGTAAGATGAAAAGAGATATTAACTTAGAGGAGGATAGAGAAGAAGAGAGGGGGAAAAAAGGCAAAATAATGAGGCGTGTTGAAGGCAAAAGAAAAAGAAATGGAATTAAGGTCGGTAGAAATATTCCATATAGTACCAGATTATGTCCTTGTAACGTTTATTGTTATTATTCAAAAGAAAGTTATTCTTAACTCGAGATGTTTAAATACTTCTTAATGTTTCACCAAAATTGTAAAGATAACAGACCATAAAGTATTTTGATGAAGAACAAATATAGAACTTGAACATTGTAGAAGGTTCCAGATATTTCTATCTTTTAAAGAAACATTCCCTCATAGCTTGCATTATCAGCTTAGAGATTGGTACGGTTAACTGGTTCAAGAATACATTATAATGGTGTTTATAATGATGAGGCTGATGACAAACGATGATAATGATGATAAAGACAAAATCATAAAGTGATTTATTTCAAAATATTGTTTGTTGCTGAATCATGAGGATTAATATTTCAAAATTATTTTATTTTATGGTGAATAAAATACGAATGAGAGGGCATCTTTATACTAAGAATCTTTATAAAAATAAATATTATTATAAAGTTATTACACGGACACACTCTACTATTTCTATTATTGTTGTTTTTATCGCTATCATCATCATCATCATCATCATCATCATCATCATCGTATACATCTTTTTTTTTTAAAATAACCGATTTTTCTCGTTTTTCTTGTATCTTTGCCATTCTAAATAAACTTGTGGCCACGAATTTTTTATGAATTCTAAAATTTTATTTATGGTGCTTGATTTATTGTTTCTGCCCAATGGACCTAACAATGTAACTATTGTTTTGATGTCAGGAGAAATTTCTTTCGTGAGCATATCTTTTGTTAACACTTCATAGATTGTTTGATGAGGAGCTTTTAATCTATATAAAGCTTGAATGTATGAATTATAATGATTTGTATTTAATCTGATTTTATTAGATGAATGATAATTAATCACTAGATCCCAAAATCTTTCAAGATTTTCAAGAGTTCCATAAAATCCTATAGCATCACAAACAATAGATGTTGCTGGTTGTATACTATTGTCATTAACATCACAACTTTTCAAAATGTCATCCCAAATCTCCATAACTTTTGTAAGTTGGCCAAGTCTACAATATGCACTTAAAAATGCTGTTCTTTTATACTTTTTATTCGAAGGGTTTAAAGATTTTGGTAATTTATTCAATAGATTGATTGTATTAACCATTTCTTCTTTATTATTTGTAATGGCGTATTGATTTAATAATCTTATTAGACAATATTCTACTATATCTACTTTATACGTAATGAAATCTAATTTTGGGTTCATTCGCAGAATTATTGAAATTATTTGTTTAACTTTTGATTCATATCCTGAATTTATGTAAAAAAAACACAATTCAAATAATGTGGGTAATCTAGGTTCGATATTAGAAGAAATCATATTGTCGTAGATTGTGTCTGCAAACGTCAATTGTTCCTTCCACCCAAACATCACGATTAGATAATGTCCAATGTTTTTATCAATCATGATACCTTTTGACGAAATCTCTTTATAAACATCAAAAGCTTTTTGAATCCCGTTGAAAGCAAATAATCCTTGAAATAATTCTATCAACACCAATGGACTTTCTTGTATATGTTTTGATTTTATATTCAAGAAATATTCGACGGCTTTTATTGGTTCCGCATTTTTAAAATAATATTCTACCTGTTCCAACACATCCATTTCTGTTCTTCCCGGTTTTTTTACCATTTTGTCCATAATCATGTCTTTGTAAAACATATTTAAATATTCTATATTTCTCGATTTATTGCATTCAATTAACAGCCTATTTATTGAATTTTCGTCAAACCGAATTTTATCTTTTTCATCATATATTCCAATTATCTTTGGTGATGGTGTTTTATTTCTCATCAAATTAATAATTTCATCAAGTTTACCATTAAACAATCGAACTTTTTTGTGAGCATTTTGTAAATGGTATTGCTCTTGCTGTGGTTGAGATTGTTGATATCGTTGAGGAAGACTTTGAAATTTTATTGATGAGAATTTTACTATTCTTGGTATATTTCGTATATTTATTATTAGATTTGATTTACAATAATATAAATACTTTAATTTAGTAATTTGATTTCTAAAATGTAATAGAGAGTTCATTTTTTTTATTGACTTTTGAAAAATTTTTTTTTGTGCAAGTAATTACGTGATTAAAAACAAATCGGTCTAATTACGTGATGACGATAAGCGAAATTGTATATATATATATCAGTCACAGGACATTTCCAGCTAGGGATGGGGCGGTTTGGTTCGGTTCGGTTCTGGTTCCATGGAACCGGTTACAATAGAACCGAACCGAACCGGTTCCAAAATAGATGTAACACAAAATATTATTGTCAAAACTAATTTTCAAAGAAAATTTTCACTACATATAAAATTTTCTTTAAGGGTATTACTTCCTAATATGAAAATAGTCTATGTACTATCTAGTCATTGTCCATATTTAATGTTGACGATTATTTTTGTTTTGCCAATCACTAAATTGACCAATAGGAAT